AAAACTTTCACAATAAAATGTTTTCAAAAAGTTAAATATACTCTGGATATTAGGGCTCTATCTTAAGTGTGAGGAGTAAAGATTTGTTCCCAAGATGTAGGCTCCCTATTTACCTCTCTTATTGTTTCTTTTGCTGAGAAAAAACTTTTTAGTTTCAGTAAGTCCCATTTGTTGATTCTAGTTATTAACTCTTGTGCTATGGGTGTCCTATTGAGGAATTTGGAGCCCGACCCCACAGTATGTAGATCGTAGCCAACTTTTTCTTCTATCAGACGCCGTGTCTCTGATTTGATATCAAGCTCCTTGATCCATTTTGAGTTAACTTTGGTGCATGGCGAGAGAAAGGGATTCAGTTTCATTTTGTTGCATATGGATTTCCAGTTTTTCCAGCACCATTTGTTGAAGATGCTATCCTTCCTCCATTGCATGCTTTTAGCCCCTTTATCAAATATAAGATAGTTGTAGTTTTGTGGATTGGTTTCTGTGTCCTCTATTCTGTACCATTGGTCTACCCGCCTGTTTTGGTACCAGTACCATGCTGTTTTTGTTACTATTGTTCTGTAGTATAGTTTGAAGTCTGGTATCGCTATACCGCCTGATTCACACTTCCTGCTTAGAGTTGTTTTTGCTATTCTGGGTCTTTTATTTTTCCATACGAATTTCATGATTGCTTTCTCTATTTCTACAAGAAATGCCGTTGGGATTTTGATTGGCATTGCATTAAACCTATAGAGAACTTTTGGTAATATCGCCATTTTGATGATGTTAGTTCTGCCTATCCATGAACAGGGTATATTTTTCCGTCTTCTAAGATATTCTATTTCTCTCTTTAGGGTTCTGTAGTTTTCATTGTATAAGTCTTTCACCTCTTTTGTTAGGTTGATTCCCAAGTATTTTACTTTATTTTTTTGAGGATATTGTGAATGGAGTGGTTGTCCTCATTTCTATTTCAGAGGATTTGTCGCTGATATACAGGAATGCCTTTGATTTATGCATGTTGATTTTATATCCTGCCACTTTGCTGAATTCATTTATTAGCTCTAATAGTTTCTTTGTAGACCCTTTTGGGTCTGCTAGGTATAGAATCATGTCACCTGCAAATAGTGATAATTTAAGTTCTTCTTTTCCTATTTTTATGCATTTAATTTCTTTTGTCTGTCTAATTGCTCTGGCCAGTGTTTCGAGAACTATGTTGAACAGAAGTGGTGAGAGAGGGCATCCCTGTCTTGTTCCAGATTTTAGAGGGAATGCCTTCAATTTTTCTCCATTCAGAATGATGCTAGCCAGAGTATACAAAGAACTCAAAAAATTAGACAATAAGATAACAAATAACCCAATCAACAAATGGGCCAAGGACCTGAACAGACACTTCTCAGAGGAGGACATACAATCAATCAACAAGTACATGAAAAAATGCTCACCATCTCTAGCAGTCAGAGAAATGCAAATCAAAACCACCCTAAGATACCATCTCACTCCAGTAAGATTGGCAGCCATTATGAAATCAAACAACAATAAGTGCTGGCGAGGATGTGGGGAAAAGGGTACACTTGTACATTGCTGGTGGGACTGCAAATTGGTGCAGCCAATTTGGAAAGCAGTATGGAGATTTCTTGGAAAGCTGGGAATGGAACCACCATTTGACCCAGCTATTCCCCTTCTCGGTCTATTCCCTAAAAACCTAAAAAGAGCATGCTACAGGGACACTGCTACATCGATGTTCACAGCAGCACAATTCACAATAGCAAGACTGTGGAACCAACCTAGATGCCCTTCAATAGACGAATGGATAAAAAAAATGTGGCATTTATACACAATGGAGTATTACTCTGCATTAAAAAATGACAAAATCATAGAATTTGCAGGGAAACGGATGGCATTAGAGCAGATTATGCTAAGTGAAGCTAGCCAATCCCTAAAAAACAAATGCCAAATGTCTTCTTTGATATAAGGAGAGTAACTAAGAACAGAGTAGGGAGGAAGAGCATGAGAAGAAGATTAACATTAAACAGGGATGAGAGGTGGGAGGGAAAGGGAGAGAGAAGGGAAATTGCATGGAAATGGAAGGAGACCCTCAGGGTTATACAAAATTACATACAAGAGGAAGTGAGGGGAAAGGGAAAAATAATACAAGGGGGAGAAATGAATTACAGTAGAGGGGGTAGAGAGAGAAGAAGGGAGGGGAGGGGAGGGGAGGGGGGATAGTAGAGGATAGGAAAGGCAGCAGAATACAACAGACACTAGTATGGCAATATGTAAATCAATGGAAGTGTAACTGATGTGATTCTGCAATCTGTATACGGGGTATACAGATTCATAACCCACTTGAATCAAAGTGTGAAATATGATATATCAAGAACTATGTAATGTTTTTAACAACCAACAGTAAAAATTAAAAAAAAAAGTTAAATAGAAACTATAAAATATGCATAAACAAAATGAATATATAAAATATCAATAATAGTTAAAAATAGCTGGATACTTTCTTGACTTGAAAAAATAAGAAGCATGAATACTGAAAAGAAAGGAAAAACTACTATCCTTTGAAGATATAATTGTATATCTACAAATCAAAGAAAACAATCAAGGTAGTGGCTACAAAAATATAAAAAATGCCAAATGTCTAACTAGTTAGAAAAAAAATGGAAGAAAAAAAGATGCAACTTATAACAGCCAAAGATAAAATCATCCCTTGAGGAACCTAGGGGCCCCCAGCCACTACTCTGCCTATGTTCTCCTCATCTTGATGACAACCATAGAAGTGAACCTTGTGCATGCGACCATAGACCATGGTGCTCTGGTAGAGCTACCCACCCACAGTGTCAGTGGCCAGGTTTTTACACAGGACATAATTAGGGGCTGGAGTCAGTAGGTAAGAAATACGTAACAGTTAAATGAGGAAAACAATGTATACTGAGGGTTATCAGAGTAGTCTCAAATAACTAAAAATAAAAGCTCTTTAGTAGAAAACCCAGTTTTTAAAATAAGAACACTGTTTTCCCCTCAGAAATCCTAAATCTTTAATAAATCAATGCAATCTCAAAATGCTAGTGAATTCTTTCTGGAAACCCAACAAACTAACACGAAGTAATGAGGAGGAATTAACAGGTATGAAAACAGAAAAAGCAAAGCCCTGCTCCCGTCTCACATTTTTTAAGAGGACAGAGATGACGTTAAAATTTCTTGGTACAATGTTCGTTTCATTATCTTAATGTTCCATAGGTAGTTCACAATTTGTGAAGGCCAAGTGACAAAAAAATCCGGAAGTACATGTCCCAGTACAGAAGGAGAGACGCTGTGCTGGAAAGGGCAGCGCCACCTTCTTTCAGCTCTCTTCACTGCCAGGATGATCAAGAAGCATCGCCCAGACTTCTTGCAGTGCTTATCTATCCATCTCCCTTTAATCCCGGCCCTCTATCATTTCTTAATTAAAAGCTCTTATAAACTGCTGAGTTTCCTCATCTGTAAAATGAGGCCAATCACTTTTTCAGAGTTATTTTTAGGGAATAGATGAGGGAGTCCCTATAGTATGTGCCACATAGTAACATTTTGCAAAATACTAGCTACTAATTAGATGCTAAATCATTACCACCATCCTGCTTCCATTACACAGGTTTTAAATTTTAATCTCAGGTTTAAATGTTGTAATTTTTTTTCCTTATGTGTGTATTTTACTAAAACTTGCATTAAATTCTTTTTAAAAGTGGACAATACGTTGAAAAAATAAGCATCACAATAGTAAGAGTATAGTAATTGCTGCTCCAAATGCATTTCCTGCTACAGGAAAGAATTAATAGAAAATGGACATCATTATACTGAACAAAGGTGGGTTCACCTCACTTAGTGAAGGCGATGGTTTCACAAGGCCTATGCTCAACCTAACTGTGTATGCTGTGAGGGGTTATTTTCTAGTCAATCCTGATGACCCCAAACCTCACAGAAGTGCTGATTAATCCCTTCTCAATTAAGTAAGTAAAATCAGAACATCTTAATTTTTACTGAAAGTGAAATATATTTTCCATTAATTCAATTCTGCTTTCCTTCTATACAGATACATCCTTGATGACACAAGGATCAGGAAATGCCAAATTCACCTCTACCTGAGAGCGTAAATAACTTTTCATCTCTCGCCCATGATCTTCCACTGCCCCATCCTCTTACCATATCCTCCACTGCAACAAAGGTGAAAGAGGAAAAAATAACTTTTTCTCAGGATATCATACATTGTTAAATACTATCTGGTCAGAACTCTTAAAAGTTACTCCTACTGTGATCTTTATACATTTTCTTTTCTCTCCCTCTCAAGCTCCCCTACCCTTACCATTTATCTTGTACCTAGCTCTATTACTGTTCCATTCACTTTGTTATCATCTGTGTAAATAATCTCAACTGTGTGCACCTGAAAGCAAGAACACATTTTTTTTCTCTTAAGTTTTCAAATTCTCAGAGGATTCTCCAGCAGAAAGCCTAACAGTAGGTCCTGGAATGTTTTGAAGTAAGTGAATAAAATGTATTACCTACAAGAGCCCTGGATTGGTAATCAGAAAGTCCAGACTCTACTCTTGTTAATGCAATTTGGAATTTCTGTAGCTTTCTATTTAAGTTTGAATTTTCTAATCTATAAAGTGGGACTTTACTTGCTCTGCTATTGTATAGTTTCATAAAATGAGATGATGAAAGTAAAAAGTGCTTATTGTTATATTAGTTTAAATAACATCATAGTTACTTCTGAAAATTAGTATTATTTGTCAACCAAATTTATAAATGTAAGTAGGAACAGTACAGTTGTTCCATTAGGATATGAAGATTTAATGTTTACTTGCTTTTTCTTTAAATAAATTTTTTAAAAAAAGCTAAAGACAGTTGGTAAGGCATTCATTTATATTATTTCTTCAAGAGTATTATGCTTGTGCTATGAAAAAGAAATAATCCATGTTAATTGTGCCATGTCTTCCAATCTTAATTATAATTTAGATATAAAACATTGGGGTATTTCTTACCAGGTTCTGGGAGGTCTAATTTCGCCCGCTTTAGTTCTGCCATAGAAATCTGAAGTTGGTCTATTACAAAATCATCTTCAAAGAAAAAATCCTTTGCTAGAGTCTCCTGAAGAAATTCTACAAGTTCTTCCATAGACAATTTCATTAGATGTTCTAAGAAAGGATGACAGAAATGTAAATGCTAAGTCAACAGTTATTTTAGGTTGAAAAGATAATACATTCTATTTGGTATAGCACATTTATAAAAAGGGCATTGAAAAAACCTAAACAACTTTCACATGGCCTTGTGAATGTTAAAAAATTTTTTTTTCTGATACTGAAATGGTCACAAAGAAATGCAGGTTAATCTTACTGGGGAGAAAGAGGAGCTGGCAAATACTGTCAAACACCTTCTCATTGGTTTAAGAGTAATAATATATAGGCATTAATAGTAACCCAGAGTAAGAGCTTCTCTGAGACAACTGACAGAGAAAGGCACCCAGGAAGACATGAGGCCTTTCTCTTTTATTGATTTAAAGCTCCAACTGTCACAGGCAAATCCACTTCTAAGTCTGTATTTATTAGTGGTTCAGAACTTTTTTTAAAAGGGATTATTAATTTGTAGAGTTTATTTCTGCATATGAAAATAGTTTCATCAGAAAAAATTTCAAACTACAGACACAAATCGGAAAATAAAAACCCACTAAGATCATACTACCCAATACCTTACTCACAGGTATGTATATTCACATGTGCATATGTGTATCAATTTTCAAAATTAAATGATATTTACAAAGTTATTCACCTTCTTGCTTTGTTCCCTTTCAATAATATATCACTGATATCTCTCACTTCAACAGATATGATTTTATACCATCATTATTCATAGTGATATAATAGTGCAATGTAATGAATGCATTGTAATTTGCTTAATTAGTCTTCTAGTTATGGACATTCAGATTGTTTCTCATTTTTTGCTATTTAAACCACTTTGCCATGAACCTCTAGTAACAAAGTCTCTAAATATTAAGGCAATGTGGAAGAAAGAGAAAAAAGAAAAAACCTCTTAACCACTGAGTAAGTGTCCCAAAAGAAGTTTTTCTTCTTTATGCTTTATGTTTTAATTGGCAAATAAAAAATTGTATGTATTTAAGGTGTAAACTATGGTCTATTACAAAATCATCTTCAAAGATGATTTGGTGTATGTATAACATTGTGGAATGATTAGACCAATCTAACTAACATATCCATCAAACATATTTATTTTTGTAATGAGAACACTGAAAGTCTACCTACTTTGCAGTTTTCAAATATTCACTAATATTATTAGTTTCAGTCACTAGGCTGTACAATAGATCTCCAGAACCATTCCTTCTGTCCAGCTGAAACTTTTTTACCTCTTAGTAACATCTCTCCATCCTCCCTCCCTTTCAACTACCATTCAGGTTTTAAGGCTTCACATGGTGATGAAGGAAATTAGTTTAAGCTCTTGAGCTTTGTTTCCCTAGCCAAAAATAAATAAATAAATAAAAAATACAGAGCAGCAGAGAAATTTTTCTACAGTTTATTTAGTCCAATGATATGCTAGTATATAAAGTAACTGCTGTGCTTAAAGTTTATTTACAAAGGGTAAAGAAACTTTTTACTTGTCAAAATTGATAAAGGGTCATATAAATAAAAACAATTTAAGAAGAAAAAAAGAGCTACAAAGAAATATGTTTCTACTTTTTCACTGTTTAGGGAACATTGATATCTCTTAATAAAAATTTTATTTTTGTTCCACACCTCATTTTATTCATAATCCAGAGAGAAAGGAAGTAACTGAAGTGGAGGAGAGGCAGGAAGAGAAGAAAGAGGGATTTCACTTGGTTGTAAGACAGAACCCTGGGTCTTGGATAGCAATTTGTTGTCAAAGGTTTTGTCGTGGTACTTTAGTCTGTGTGTTGAGGAAACAGAGCCTGAATACAAGGGAAAAGAATCACCACGCTTCTGAATCCTTTTCTTGAAAAGAGTAAACAATACAAAGGTATCTTATAATGGGCATTCTTATTCCTAGGTAAAAGTGTGGTTGATCTGGCCCTCTGAAGTCCACTCTGTTCACATAAATAACATAACAATCTTACATCAAAGTACCTAGCATGTACTTAGAACACCAAGCACAGTAGACAGAAAAACCATAAACATAACCTCATGCACTCAACTGGCTCCTACTGCAGATGGGATGCTGAGGAGATCATTCAAGGACAACATGAGAGAGCAGAGTATACGTGGAACGTGAAATTATGTGGTATGGTCTAGATTAGAAGTACTATATAAAGTTCTAAAGCTTTCAGTGATTCACACCTCTGTATAGTTTTAAGAAGAGCCACAGAATGCTTACGGTTGAACTGAGACTTTAAAGTGAATATGATTCTTCACATTCATGAAGAAAATCTCATTTCTTAACTTTATAGTAAGGCATAGCAACTCAATTTACAGAGCCCTTGAAATACTGCAACTGAGACTAAAATGTGTTTTGTTGTTTTGTTTTAAAAAACAATCCTTTCTACATTTATGCAACTACAGACACTGCCTTTACTTGCCTCAGAGGCCATGACACAGTCAAGCAGAGCTGATCTATAAATTCCCCATCTACAACTTGGAGCTGGAAGCTCTTATTCCTAAATGAAGGAAACAATAATAGAAATATTCTCTGTAGCACCCTTAAATCATGAGGCTAAAGCTCTCTCTGTTCTATTACAAACTTGAAATTCAGATCAATGAAAAGAACAAGAAGATCCAGCGAACATAGGGTTAGAAGTGATGGTGGGATGTGATGATCATTATTATCCAAAGTACATGAATGAAGACACAAATTGGTGTGAATATACTCTGTGTACAACCAGAGATATGAAAAGTTGTGCTCTATATGTGTAATAAGAATTGTAATGCATTCTGCTGTCATATATAAATAAAAAATTAATTTAAAAAAAGAAGATCCAGTGAAAACCAATATTTTAGAATATCATTATTAGTGAAACCAACAAATTTCATTCTACCACTCCAGTGAAACTGTTATAAGGAGAAAAGAATCCAAGATCTTTGCCATACACAGCTCTAGTAGGAAAAAGAACCATAAAAAAGTAAACTACCAACTGAAGAAAACTTCCCCACTGATTCTCAAGGACTTTTTTTATACTATCACGGAGATAATGGATAAGGAGCCCAGTGGGGATTGACACATCAAAGTTAAAATAAGTCTTGATTTTTATGAAATCTTCAGTTAAAACATTTTCTTACTTTTGTGTAATTTTAAGATTGTGTAGGACATGGCAGTAAGAACTCGTTCTCCTTCAAAGATGTAAATATCCCATATTCTGAGGTTTAGAGTAAAGGGAGTCTGTAATGAAAAATAAAACAAAACAGAAGTAAGATTAACAGTTTGCCTCACCTTGTGATCAGGATTTTATGATAGAGTTTTGTAAATAAATACTTACACGATCAAGGAAACACTGAAAAAACCATTTCATTGTGTAAAAACTCGTGTAGATTTCTTGAGTATCCTAAAAAAACAAAGACCTCACAATTTCTGGATTGTAACCAACAGATTATGACAATACAATACACAAAATTAGGAAGGATAATGGAGATAGCTGTCAAGGATAAATATTAAAAAAAACCACCTTTGGGGGCTGGGGTTGCAGAGTGCTTGCTTAGCACACGTGAGGCACTGGGTTCGAGCCTCAGCACCACATGAAAATAAATAAGTAAAATAAAGATATTTAAGAAAAAAACCCAAAACATCTCTTTACAACCTTTTTCTTGATTTCTTTTCCTATTCTTACTTTTTCTCCCAAAATTTTACCTTTCAAGATTAACCCCAGAATAAATTTCTCATGAAAGGACTGTAATACATTTATTTTTCACTAACATATTTTACAATTAACTATCTTTGTTTTACTAAAGTATTATATCTTGTAGTAAAGCACACATATATTTCATGAGGAATGAGTTTGTAAGAACCTCAAAATACTTTTTGTGCAATTCAAAAACCTCCAAAGTAACTAAGAAATCACATTTCATTTAAAAACTTCATTGTTTCCACTTACCAGCTTCACAGAAATCTGAATCTACTAATTAAAACTGTGATAGATCATCAATATTAAATTTTACAAATCTAATGTTCATCAAACTGGGAATTGTTTTAACTGTTTAGTAAATGAAATGGATGACACTATAAATTAATGAGTTAACTGAGGCCAAAGACCAAATATCACTGTAGCTTCATTATTGGAACAGGTGGGTGTTAAGTCAGTGTCACATCTACCTACCAAATGTTGCTTAAGCTTGGACAGAAATTTATTCAGTATTTTTTCATGATGTTCTTGAAACCTCAAGAGTTTAGGGAAACCTTGGACAAAAAAGCCTATAATACAAACATAAAAACAGTACTTCAGAAACAATATCCACAAAACACCAATTTAAAAATGCAACACATTTCTTTCATTCCTATCAAAAGAAAAAAGAAACATCTAGTACTTACCAAGATAATTTTCCTTCCCACCAAAACCATAATTGTATACAAACTTTTGGGTAATGAGACTATTAGCTAGGATTTGTTGTTAACATTCACCTATATTTTTATAAAATATATTTTCTGTAAAAGGCAGAATATTTCTGAATTAAAGGAAAACTAGTAGACTAAACCCCCCCCCAAAAAAAAAGAAAACTGAGATTATTAATCAAGATTATGTGTTCTTTTTAAGACCTTGGGCCATATCTTAAATGATTGAATTTTTTTAGTTCTAATCTTAACTACTTATCATTTGGTTTTACTGTTAATGTATTACTTAAACATTTATTTACATTTTCAAGTTTACTTTAACAATTTCTCTAGTACCATTTTTCCAAAGTTTTTATCACTTTTTAACACTTTCTGTAAGCTATATTTAACATAAGCTAAAACAATGTTACATCAAAAATCATATTTTAATCCAATTGATTATACAATATAATCTGTAAGATTTTTAGTTATAAATGGTTAAGTTAGTATTAATTTGTATATTTAATTCATTGAACTTTATACATCTATTTTTATTCACGAGTTTCCTTTCAGATATATTTAAAAGGATATAAATTCAGTGGACTCTTATTTCTCCACCTTAGTGTTTTCAACCTGGTTTCTAAGCAACTTTGAAAGATGTTAATAGATTTTCTATGCTTTTAAAAAGAACCTGGGGTAAATAGTGTATGTTACATGTTGTTCTTGAATATTTATGATGTATATTAACCTATTAATTAACGTCTTTTAGATTTCATGAAACATTTTGCTTTGCTTTTCTCAATCTCCCAGACTTATCCAAACTTGGAGTCTATTTTTTTCCCACAAAACATCTGTTTCCAAAAAACAAAACTTTGTTCCTTCAAGAACTTCAGGAACACAATACTGGGAAACATTGCTTTACAATCTGAGCAGAATTCTCTCTTAACTTTATTGCTCAGTTTTTGAAGGTATGTGTAAAAATTTCCAGAGACAGAGATTCTATTCTTCTCTCAGTAATATTTTCCAGTGAAATGATTTAAAAAAAAAAATCTTTATCTATCAATGCCATTTTCATGGTCAATTTGACAAGAATGGGAGTTGGAAAAATTTCAAGAAAAGTATGATTTTTTGAAAAAGTCAATGCACTTCAGTAATAACTAGCTCAGTGATACAAAGATATCTAATATTTCTTTATTTTTCAGTGATATCCCAGGCTCAGTATTTTAAATCTTCTCTCTTCTAGCCTTACCTTTGATTTCTCATATTTACAAGTGACACCACTTTAATAAAGGAAATGCAAAGGATAGAGGGTACTTTAGATAAAACTTCATAAGCAGGCATACAAACAAATATTTCTAAGTACAAACTCACCCATAAAAATGACCTAGACTTCACTGAAAGAATAAATGTTGGGATAAAATTGCTTTACAGATTAGACTGGCAACAATAATTGCTAGCAAATAGGTTTTAAAAGAAATGATTATTTTCTAAAATTAGACAGGCTTCTACATAATTATATATCACTTAAATTGTATACTTCATTGCACTCAAGAAAAATCAACAATACCACTGCATGGGGAAGCAAAATAAAGACTGATAAAGAAGAGTTCTTTTTCCTCAAGATGTCTTTTTAAATGATACTGCCTATTGAATGTCAACTTAACATAATAATATATCTTACATTTGGAGTCCAGAAACCATTAACATGTGTTAAAACAATTGGCAAAAAACATTGATAGACTAAAGCAAACACACATACACACATGCACACACCCCTCACACCCCTCCACACACAACACCCCCACAAAAGTCACTTGCTAAGATTGTCAGATTTAATATACAATGGACTATGGAAGGCCATAACTTTGAAAACGTTAAAATAGCACTTTCCATGGAAGGTCCCCACAACATAGAGCATAAATATTCACAAAGTGAACGTAGGTGATTCATTCTTAAGAGTAATTGGTATTACAAGTTTTAATTTGATACTACCATATAAATGAATTGGAAAAATAACTTTGCCTTAATATAAATGCCACTTTTATTTCCAAAACAAATTGCAATCCAAACTCTACAAAATAAAATTTAATGAACATGCTTGGCAAATATTAGGAAAAGGTCATTAAAAACAATCTGCTAATCTGAAAACCAAAAATTATGCATGTTTTGGAATATTAAACAATCTAGTGCCCAAAACATGTCATCAGCCATTTACTTAAAATGGAACAAAATATGGCTGGAAGAACTAAAACTCACACTTGAAATATGAAACTACTGTGTTATTATGTACTTTTCCTTTAAATGCCTAAATGTCATGTCATTTCTCAGTTAATATTCTTTGACAAGAAGTCGTACATCACAATATCCAGTCAATGGTAACATTTAACTGAAATGGTAACTGCATGACTGTCTAAAAGTTTTGATCAAAAGGTATCTTATTTCTTCTAAATAATATAGCTTTTCCTAAATTCCTCCAAACCTGAATTAGTTTCTTCTGACTGAGGGCAAGCAAAAAAATTTAAAAATTTTAAAATACCAACAATATACTTTGGGGAAATGACAAAGAAAAATCAGTGTGAACTGAAAAAGTTAGAAAAAAGTTTAATAACAAAAACCAAAAGAATTAGAAACAAACACCATTGAACAAGCTCTGAGACATTAAGTTTGTTGTACTAATTCTACCAGGCATCTTTGACTTTGTTTTCATTTACCTTTTACCCTCTCTGATTTTATTGCTTATGATAACATATGGGTGTTCTTACCATGCATGGCATGTTTGGGGCCCGAGAAGAGTTTGACCAGGGCCCAGAAGGCATCTTCCTCGTTCATGTACATGAGGAGTAGAGCTGTGATCTGGCTCATCCCCTGACAGTACCCAACTTCCTAAAGAGCAAAAGAAAGCACAGACACTGGAGTTCAGAATACAACTACAGATATCACAAAATGCCTAGATAGATTATTTAGTGGGCATTTCTAGAGGTAAATATTACAATCTTTACAGCATAATGCCATATGTTATAAAAGAATAAAAAACTCTCATATAGAATAAACGCACAGATGTAGACAAAGTTTAAGTCTTTTTTTAAAATCATCTTCTGTTTGATACTGTTATGCTCTCTTTAAAGAGTACCAATATTATTTCATTTTATGTTTGATTTTAGCTCACTATTCTTCCTCTTTGCTCAGATGCTAGCAATCTCTCTCCACCTCCAAGTCCAAGTTTGCTATCTTATTTCCTCTATATTTCTGGACCCTTAAATAGATACTTTTTGGATGCCCACCCAACCTACACCCCTCTAAGAGCTACCCACTCTCCTCATAGTCCCTGCTTTGATATGGCCTTAGTGATTCATGCTTCTGTAATAGGAACCATAGCTGATGGACCAGATGAGGACACCTGACACCAAGAGAATAATTAATTGGTTTCATGGACTAATCAGACACTCTACTCTCTCTAGGAAATGTGAACAAAGCCAGAGGGCTACAATCACATGGAGTTATGTACTCTAATAGTATGCTATTCTGTGAGTGGAATTTCAGCCATGGAATAACCAGCAGGCAGGTAAAGGAAGCCATCTGGAGATAGACACAGTAGAATACACAATTCACAGAGATAGTCAGAGATACCATGTGGCCCCACAGAGAGGGGGAGAAAGTATAGCTATTCTCCCTGAATGCTTCCCACCTTTCAGCTCCAATTCCCCTGAGGCCAGGTACAGCTTCATTTCCATGAGAAGTTCCTTTAGTAAATCCCTTTTGACATTTCCCCAGTTTAAGCTGACTTCTGCTCTTGTTCAAAGGTTCTCCTCCCTAGAATCTTGTCAATAGGTATTTATTTAACAGCCATGTTAGGTCTCTCCCCAGAATGGTACATGCCTTAAGAGTAGTATGTTTATTACTAAAAAGTTTAGTTTTATTCTACTCATACTGAACATCATCTGATACATAAAACGTAATACTGGAAGACAACCTTCTAGGACTTATTGAAGAATTATTGAGTCAAGCAAAAATTAATCTATTCACCAACTTCCTGTCCTACCTTCCCATTCCTGATTTGTTTGCTTTAAAGTTATAACAAATACCATAAAACATAACAAAACAATCTGTAGCGGGAGAGAAAAAGTGAGATTTACTGGTGTACTATGGTCATATGTTGTTTTTTCCACTTCCAAATCACTTCTGTTCTAAGACCTCAGGGTTACTACGGGAGCCATAAAGAGATCCACAGAACTAAAAGGTCCTGGGATGAAGAAATGGGGCTACAAGGGCCTTATTATGTAGGGGGTGCCAAAAGGAACCTCCTGTTTCTTGGAATACAAGTAAAGAATAGGGCATGCTTGGACTTACCGTATTATAGATAGAATATGCAGCAAGAACATGAAATAAGGATTGTTGCCTAGAGAAATAAAAATTTAATTAAACACAATTTAGTTATTTCATACTTTTAAAATTACAAACTTACAAATAATCCATATAAGATTTACAATTGCAATAAAGAAATTCTCCTAAGTGCATATGAAAACAGTACACTCAACAGTCTAAATTTGAGACTAGATAGCTTCATTCTGACAGAAAGATTTATACCCAAAACACAAAGGACTTCAACATGTCTTACACTGTTGCCACCTTTTAAACAGAAGCCACTGGATTAACAAAACAGAGGCAAGGCCTTCTGAAGACTCCATGACAACACCAACTAAGTGTAATACCTAACAGAACTGGGCAGTGTCCTCCAAAAAGCTGGACATGCTCTATAGCAGCCTCCAAGAGAAGGTAGCTTGTTATGCTTTCCATAGCCAGAATGCAGGTATTGAGGTTCAAGAGTGGAAACAGGAATAGCTCTACTCACTATTATCCCAAATGACTGACTCCCTAGGAAGTTTTCTGCTTCCTATCCCTGCAACCTTAGGCTCTGTTGATCTAGATATCTTAGTTCCAAAAGAGCAGGTTCCACCAGGAGACATAAAGTTGATTCCATAAAACTGGACTGCCATACAACCACTTTGAGTTCTTTATGCCTCAACAGACAAGGAGGGGGATTGATCCTGATTACTAAGGGGAAAAATGATTGCTACGATATAACAGACATAGGAGGAATATGTCTGGAATATAGGAGAACACTGGGGCATCTCTTAGTATTACCAAGCTCTGTGGTTAAAGTCAATGGAAAGCTATTGATTTTTTCCAATTCGGGCAGAACTGGCAACAATCCAGACTTTCCAGGAAAGAAGGTTCTACCAGAAAAAGAACTATAACCAGCAGCAGTACTTGATGAGGGCAAATGATACATAGAATGGGCAGTGGAAGAAGGTTACTATAAATACCAGCTATGCCCATATGGGAAGTCGGAGAAATTACTGTAATTTTACAAACACTTCTTCCTCACTTTGGTATGAGTGTGTGTGTGTGTGTGTGTGTTTATGTACACACAAACAAAATTTTCTTCTTTATGATAATTACACTTATATGACAGTATTTAAGTTCAGGATAGAAAAGCAGAGGTCTGAACATGGCCCAAGAACTTGATATCCACTTATGGGAAAAGCATTAAGAGTGTTTTCAGTTGTAAGCAGAATTGTTGTATCATGTTAGACAGAAGAATGAATTTGCTACTGTCTTATCTGGAAATTAAGAATTGCTTAAGGAGATGAGTGTCAGTAACCAGTTGGCACAGGTGGACTGTGTCGGTTGGCTCTGTGTAGAAATCTGGCTAGGTTACTGAACATTATTATTTAAACACTCATCTAGATGTTACTGTGAATGTATTTTGTAGATGTAGTTAAAATCCAAATTCTGTTGACATAAACTGGGGGAAGAATATCCTATGAAATTTGAATAGGCCAGGTTCATTCTGGCTTCCCTGAAAAAGAAATGCCACCTAAGGACAACAGCTTCAGCTTGTGCCCAAGAGTTCTAGCTTGTCCTTTCTGATAGTTTGCTTTGTAGATTTGGACTTGGGAAGCCAGCCCTCAACAACTGGACAAGTCAATCTCTTAACATATATTTCTTACTGGGTTCTACCTCACTGGTTGGCCTCTGACAAATACAGAAGTCAGCAAAATTGTATCTTTCAATCATAAAATGTCATAGCAATGATACACCAGTGTGTGGTCCTAATATTCATTTCCTTAAGTTTCATTTATGCGTGAAATCAAGGTTATATTTATCACTGACACAGTTTTCAAACACATACAATCTCTCTTCTCTACAACTTTTCATAAAAGTATCTAATGTATTCCTAAGAATTCTCAAGCCAGAAAATGATTCTTCACTAATTTTATAGCATCTACAACGTCAAAGGTTAACATTTTTTAGTTAAGCTAGATCCTAGGTTTTATACCAAATGGACTCAAATGATTTGCAAATGTTTCAATCTTGGGTATCTAAATAAAAATTATAATCTACATAAAATATCTTAATGCTTTGATAAAGACTATTTATAAATGCTATTTTTTACATTTGATAATATTAAACTTTACTTACTTAACACCATATCTGTCTCTAAACATAATATGGTCCCTGAATGTACGGTTGACATCAAGGTCTATTTGTCTGATATCAGGTGAACAACCCCGTGCTCTGTGTTTTAATTTCTGGAGAAGAAAAAGAGAAGGGGAAAAAAAATGCATCTTATGAAAATCACTTGTTCAAAGTCCATGATTTATAGTAAAATGATTTTCATTAAAAAAACTTCCTTTTTGTTGTTTAGGATAACAACTCCTGTGGCTTAAAAAATAAAATCAAAGCAATATAAAATGGTACACAAAATTTTTTCCTACCCTCAGTGTCCCCACTGATTCAACTCCCACTCCTTCCCTCTTCCCTCCCATTGTGTCAATATAGTTAGATTTTTAACCAACTTCCTGGAGTCAGCCTTACTAAGACTGTGTGAAAGCTCTTCATGACTGAGCCAAGCAACCTACTGACTTCATTTCTTTCCAGCACAGTATTTTTATTTTCCTTGGAACTAAGCACTGCCTTGCTTCTTGAGTTGCTTCATTTTCTATATACTTTTAGCCCATTCAATCCCAAATTCACTATAAATGGTACAAATCCCCTTAGGTGATGTTCCAAAGAACACATATGCCACTGACTTGTCTTCCTGAAGGCAAATCCCAAGTGGGCTGCTTGGCCTCAGGGTTGCTGCCCAGGTCAGACCTGGGGCTTCCCTCTGTTTTGTTTTGCCCTCATGTCTCCTGATTCCCGGCTCTCCCATTCTCACTCCCATCTTCACTTTTCTGGTCTATTCCCTTGCTCTGGAGGAACACATTCTCCAGCAGCTCCTGTGAAAGTGTGTGTAGAAACAAGAGGAAGTTTTGGAAACCCGGAATGTCTGATGAGTCTATCGTCTCAATTAACTGTTTGACTGCTTCAAAATCCTAAGTTGGAAAATATTTTTGCTCCAAAGGTACTGTTTCATTGTCTTCTGGTCTCACATTTTGCCAGGGGAATTCTTGTCCCTTTATATGCAAGTTCATTTTCCTCTCTGGAAGATGGTAAAGAGCTGCTCTCTCCTTGCTCTGAAATTTCCCCTTTTGCTACTTTTATCCACAGAGTTGGGCACTTGGTATATCTTTTCTTAGAAACTTATACATCTCTCAGCTCAAGAAACTGTCTTCAGTAATTCTTTTGTCAATTTACTCACTCTCCCGTCCCTCCTTCCCATTTTCTCTTTTCAGAACTCTGATTATTACAGTGTGGGATCTTCTAGGCTGTTATCTAATTTTCTTGTATGTTCTCTATTATTTCCCATCTATTTGCCTTTAAGTTTTATTCTCTGGAAAATTTCCTCAATTGGAATTTTCTATTGTTTTTCATTTCTCTTAAGTTTTTCATTTCCATTATTTTTTTTACACTCATAAGCTCTTTGTTGTTCTAAAATGTTCCTTTTTATAGCATCCTACACTTGTTTTATGGATGTAATATCTCCTTATTTTTCTGAAGATATTAAAAACAGTTTTCTTCTTGCTTTATCGTTTGCTTCTTACAAGTTTCTTTTTTCCATTTGCTTTCATTTGCCTTTCATGCTAGCCCCTTTCCTTAAATGAACATGCAGTACTTTGCTATCTGCTTTTATTTAAAGTGAGACACTTAAAAAAAGCTGTGGGGTTTCACAACAGTGTTCTTCACTGTAGAGTGATTTAGCCTAGGAGATGCACTGTGGTCCATGAAGTCAGGATCTTTGGGTTTATTTTCTTGTGCTGGCCACATTCCCCAAAGAAGGTTATTCCAACCTTGTCACGAAGACAAGCACCTGGATGCCATGTTTTAAGACCTGGGTTGAAGAAAAAGACTAGACTGCTCAAAATTCAGGATATTCTATTCCTTTGCTTTCATGAGCGCAGCCCACCCCAGCAATGTCTGTGTCCCAGCTGAAAGGACCTCTGCTCCATCCTCTCCCCAATAATAAAGTTCCAGTCCTGGGCCAGCGCTGGAAGGAAACCTGGAAGTTCTAACTGTTTCTGAAAAGACTATCCAGCACCTCTGTTTAGCCTCATCTGCACTTCCAGAGGTACCTACAGCCAGCAACTCCCAACCACCTTCTGAAGGTCTCAGCTATGGTGCATGGTGCTCCTCCACTTTCCCACTACAGCCCAAGATTTAGCTTTCTCAGGTTTATTAAATTTACTAAATGCCTGTCTGTACTCTGGTTTCCAAAAATTGGCAGCTGTTATTTCTTCTTCTATTTTCTTACATCTTGTGGATTTGCCTTTAAAAAACTCTGCTGTTGGGCTGGGGATGTGGCTCAAGCGGTAGCGCGGTCGCCTGGCATGTGTGTGGCCCGGGTTCGATCCTCAGCACCACATACAAACAAAGATGTTGTGTCCGCCGAAAACTAAAAAAAATAAATATTTAAAAAATTCTCTCTCTCTCTCAAAAAAAACAAAAAACAAAAAACAAACAAACAACAACAACAAAAAAACACTCTGCTGTCAATTTATTGGTATTTCAAAGGAAGGGGAATCTGAAATTATGAGTATGCTTCATTTCCCATGTTTAATCCAACAGAAGATTAAAATTTATATTAACATGTACTTATCTATGTTTAAATATAAATAAGCATCTATATACACATGCCATATTGATCCATTTACCACATACCGACAATACAGATTTCTGCTACATTTATATAAAAACATAGTTTAATTCCTGACTTAAAGTAGAATAGAGGCTATCTGGGTGTGTCTCAAATAATGTGTGTGTATGGTTAAGTGCTTCTGTGTTTTGAGGTAGGAACTAGAGAAGGGCAGCGTCTATATCTTTTTAAAACATGAAGAATGGGCTGCGGGTGTGGCTCCATGGTAGAGCACTTCTCTAGCATGATGAGGCCCTGGGCTGAGTCCCAGGCACCAGGAAACAGCAATTCAAAACTTGAAGAGTTCCCACAGAATGATCCTGAGTTCTGAAGACAGAAGAAGACATTTGTAGTACTGTATGAAAATCATACAACCACTGAAATATTATTGTTATTTCTAATAAAAGCTGATGAGATAATACAAAAATTTAGTTTAAAAATAATAATTTGTTCATATTTGATCTCAATATTTTACTTCTTTTTTTCTTTGAACCTCTATTTTATTTATATGTGGTGCTGAGAATCGAACTCAGCGCCTCACACATGCCAGGCAAGCACTCTATACCACTAAGCCGTAAAGTAACTCCAGCCCTTAATATTTTCTTTTGTTAAAAAGGTAATGGGCAGGGCTGGGGCTGTAGCTCAGTGGCAGAGTACTTGCCTAGCATGTGTGAGGCACTGGGTTTGATCCTCAGAACCACATAAAAATAAACAAACAAAACAAAAGCATTCTGGACATTGACAACTACAAAAAAAAAATTTTTTTTTTTAAAGTAATGGGCAAGTACAGAGGTTTCAATTATTGTTATAGGCCTCTTCATAAAAGATGAGACACGGAAACAAAGGAAGAAAATGTTTGACTAGACATTATAAAAAATGCCTTAAAATAAAATTTAGTTGGAAGGGAGAAGACCTAAACACATTTATAACAACAGCTTCTCTTGAGGACAAGATAATCCATCATAAAAAAGGTCTCATGACAGAAGCAAAGCCCAGTTAAGCTGGTAAAAAATAACAAGTCAGGAATGTTATTTATGTCCTAAAAGGTTTACAAACTAATGCACATAATACAGTAAACCAAGCACGTTTCTTACCTCCTGAAGAAAAGGAGGTTAACAGTTTTTACGTTTTCTCTGAGACTAGGTGGTTGAGATCCATGAATACTATAATAATACAAGAATAAACATTTTTCTTAAAAAAAAATGGGAGCTAATGAACCCATAAACCTACAACAGAAGTACAGTGGATGTACTAAGTACTGTACAGAAGTACAGTACTTGTACTTAGATGAAAAATTAGGAGTATGGCCAATCAGACTGAACCGAGCCAGGCTAAGGCTCACATGAGCTTGTTACCCACTTGTTACCATCTATAAAATGCATTACTAAACACAAGAGAGATAAATACAAATGAGATACGTACAAGTAAAACAAAAACAAAAACAAAACCAGAGGAAAAAGAGCATTGGCTCAGGAGCCAGAACAGTCTGGATTTTAAATCCTACCTCCTTGCTAACACTGGAGTAAAACGTTAATTAAGTTCAGTTTCCTCATTTGTAAATGTTGATGATAACAGTAAAACCTGTCTCTCGGTATTAATGGAAGAATTAAATACAGTAGTTCATATAGAGCACTTAGATAATATCCACGCATAAAAATACTTGAATACAGTCAGCTCTCCTCAAGGTAAAGGAGATAGTTATTTATAAAATACAGTAATATGAAATTTCAAACTAAAACCAGTCATATCCAAATCTGAGGGAAGGGATCAAAAAGGGTGTTTGCAATGTACCTTGAAATTCCACCCTATATTTCTTCCCTTTTGGAAATGAACTCCTCTCAGGCTCCTATTCTATGAAGACTTCCCGAACTGTAATGTGCCTTCTTTTACTCTTTCCTTTCAACCCAGGCAAGTTTTTTGTTTTACTACTTTTAGAGTATTTAGCATATCAATTAGTGCTAAACACTTCTATGCAATCATGTCTTCTCCAATAGAGAACACTTCCCTGACGCTGCACCTGTTTATGTTTGCGTGCTCTTCAGCACCTCAAAGTCTCATCCCAAGAAAGGATACACATGTCATCGAGCAAACTTAAAGGAATGAATGCTCATAATATGCCAGGCTCCAAATAATTTCACCCATCTCAGAAAAATTTTAGTAGATTTAAGATAAAGTAGTTTTACTCCTGGTAAAGTTCCAGTTCATGGGGGGATGTGTGAAGTGCAATGTATACCACTTTCGAGAAAGTAAGAATGAATCATCAGGAAAGGAAGACCTGGTTGTATAATGATGCGAGGGAAACCTCAAAGTAAAATTAATGTTTATGACAACAATGAAAATTATGAGCTTAAAAACAGTCAAGTCATTTCTGTTTATGCTATGGAAAGTTTTTATTAAATTATACCAGCCATTGGACAATTTTATTCTATGCAAAAAATGAAATAAAATATAACTGAGGGATGGGGTTGTAGCTCAGCGGTAGAGTGCTTGCCTAGCACCTGCAAGGCCCTGGGTTCGATCCTCAGCACCACATAAAAATAAATAAAATAAAGGTATTGTGTCCAACTACAACAAAAAATAAATACATATTTAAAAATATATATAACTGAAAACTAGAGTTCTATTATTAGCAGATACACTGGGTTAAAAAATGTTCCCTCAAAATTCATATCTATTCAGAACTTATAAATGTCGCCTTATCTGGAAAACATCTGAAGACAGCAAGTTAAGATGAAGTCATAATGGATTAGAGTGGACCTTAAATCCAATGACTAGTGTCTTCATCAGGACAGTCAGACACAGACACACAAAAGAAAGAAGATCAGATGACAAAGGAAGCACAGATGAAGTGACACTGCTGCAAGCCAGGGAACCCTAAGGACTGCGGCAAGGGAGGATTCTTCCCTGGAGCCTTGAGCACCTTAACTTCAGCTTTCCATCCTACAGAACTGTGAGAGAATGGATTTCTGTAGTTTTAAGCTACTCAGATAGTGGTACTTGGTGGTAGCCTGCCCTAGGAAATGAATACAGCATGTAAACAAAGAACCTGCTGCTTTTCTTAGTTAAATATTTACTGAGCACCTACTACATGCTAGGCACACTGTAGCAAGTGCTGGGGTTACGTTTTCTGTATGTTCTCTCAAACATATTTTATTTTGAACACTGGCTCTGAAACTATGACACTAAAAGCAAACACCTAGTCAACAGCCTGAAATTTGAAACTCTAAAATCTTGAGACATAAACCCAGCCTGTGTAAAGTCCAAACAGCTGAATTTTGCAAGTCTTTTATTCACATGAAATGAGTAACTCTTTAATTAGTATTTATTACTTTTTATCTTGATGAAATTCACTTTCATACATATATGAAAAAGAAAAGAAAAATATTGAAAGAGCACCAAAGTGCTTCTTATAATTGACTTTGGAGTAAAAGTAAGCTACATATAATTTTTTTCCATTTATTCAATTTTAATTTATATTTAAAAGCATCATATAGTTATTTACATTATTTTCCAAGGAACATATTTCAAAATCTATGCATCTAAGATTCTTCAGTGTAAATACCTCACTCCCTTTCAAAGGTTAATAGATTAAAACTTGGGCTTAGAAAGGGTATAACTCAGATGATAAGAAGGCAAATTTAATGCACTGTCTAGTTTACAAAAGATTGACCACACAGTCAAAAGTTTAACTTTTTATTAATAAATAATATTCCTGGGGACAAATTCTCTCAATCTTATAAAAAAAAATCAGACACAGGCAGTTATTAGATAAACTGAATTCTGCTGTTATTTTCTCATAAATTCTAAAAATGATACTGCAAATCTCTTTATTGATACTATAATCAGGAGTTAGTCTATTTTCCTACAAAAATATCCCAACATTGATGGATCATTTGAAATACTGTGATAATTTATATATTTGAAAAGCAAAGCATGTGATACTCATTGACTGATATTGATCATATTTTTACTAAAGTATTTGTTTGAAATTTGACTAAATTACAATCAATAAAACAAATAACAGGCCTCCAAAATCCAACGTAATATAATTTTAATATCATTTCAAGTAATGATACAAGTATCTTCTATCACTATGACAGCTTAAAAATATTATTTTACTTTTTTTATTATTAGTTGTTCAAAACATTACAAAGCTCTTGACATATCATATTTCATACATTTGATTCAAGTGGATTATGAACTCCCATTTTTACCCTTTATACAGATTGCAGAATCACATCGGTTACACATCCACTTTTTTACATACTGCCATACTAGTGTATGTTGTATTCTGCTGCCCTTCCTATCCTCTACTATCCCCCCTCCCCTCCCCTCCCCTCCCGTATTATTTTACTTTTAACTTTCAAAGTAACCATTAGTTTAGGTACTTACACTATAAAGGTCTTTTGTTTCTTCTTTCATTTTAGGGATCTCCAGAAGTAGAGCCCAGACTTCACCTCGGAGCTGGAGTGGGATTCCTTTGTAAATTCTCCTATGAAACTTATTAAAAGAAAAAGAAACTAGAAGTTTCAAACGGACAAAAAATTAGAATAGTCCCTTCAATCAATCCAGGTTATGTTTGTCTTTTATTTTCAGAGTATCCATGTCAATTAATTAATATATTTTAATCAGTTGATAGATTTAAATTGTCAACTCCCTTTTTTAGATCTTAAAAGGGAGACACAGACACAGAAGGAAAAAATAAACAAGAAAGCATCAAGAATGCTCAGTATATTACATTAGTATGTTCATACTATTATCAAAGTGTCCTTTAAAAGGCACAAAAGCATAGTCAATGCTCTCTGGTAAGCCAGGAACATGTTACTGACATTCCCTGTTACACACTTTGATCCCTTCTCCCCATTCACCTGGAAAGTGCTCCAAATAGCAAAAAGGCTGCCTTGTGCTAAACGTGTCCTCACAGTGTACAGAGAACACTGTGTAACCCCTAATCTCTTTGCTACCACCTTCTCTCTGGGGCCTCTAGAACAAATCAAACTCCTTGCCATCTACCTCATACCTCACTTAGTTCTCTCTCTTTCTTCCCCCCACCCCCACCCACCCCCCACACTCCCTTTCTTCCCTCCTTTCTCTTTTCACTTATTGATATTTCTTCAGGAAAACCTTTAACATTGAACCTATCTGATTAGACAAATATAGTGAAAAAAACCCCAACAATGAAAACATGTCTTTTTAATGAAATTAGACAGTACTCATCAGTATCATTAACTCTTTGGGTCCTTGAAAAGTACACGATTGCCCTAAGAATCTTAAAATTCAGTATTCTTCTCTACCTTCTGGTAATGACATTTCCCCCTCAAGTCTAATTATCAAAATAACATGCAAAGTTCTATGGCCATTACAATGTGGTCATTCATGCCTGATACAGTGGCTCTCATCCTAAGACTATACTAGAGACAACGGAGGAAGGAAAGAATTAATTCTATGTATGAGAATTGGGAAAGATTTCCTTTAGAGAAAATGACAAAGATACATATAAATGTGCCTGAAATGGGAAATGAAGTTGGGAACAGGGGAGAAGATAATGATGAATCAAATGGTGACTTTAATATTTATAACAATAATTATTCTAACATTTTCTGGCTGTCTATTGTAAGCCCAGATTATGCTTTGTTTCTAAGTAAATTTTGTCCTTATAGTATGTTTCTAAAGAAGTTGGTATTATTATCATAACCATTTTACAAATAAGAAAACTAAGATGTGGAAAAGTTACTAGCTCAAAGTAAACTGTATCATAAGAATTCAAATTCAGTAAGTCTGACTACAGAACCCAGTCACAACAACTAAAATACAGAACCTCTACATACTGGATTTTAACAATAACTTAATACTTCAATTTGAAAGGTACCACTTTTAAAATTCTTTTACAAATTTGTGGATTTCATACACAAAATCTTTTTTTAAAAAAAAAAAGTTGCCTGAAATTTGCCTTTCATTTCTACTATATTTGTTCATTTGCCCCCAGAATTAAGCAGTCCACTTTAGTCGTGCCAATGTTTAAAATCTACCAACTTTGAAAAAAAAAAAAAAAAAGATTCTATTAAATGACTGTTTTCAATGCCTTGTTTTTAAACTTAGTGCCCTCAAAACAATGTGTTAATCCATATCACTTTGCCTTCCAGTGAGTAAACTTTACAGCCCAGAAAGCCTGGCTCTATTTTGTGGAATTTTCAGAACTTCAAGTACATATCATGAAACAGAAGTGCACTGTGCACTGCTGATGTTCTGTAGTGCCTCCCCATTTCCTCAGCTCCCCTGTCTCTGCCTTCCAATGGCATCAGTCTCCCAAATCTGGACATGAAACCACTGAGCCATACATAGGGCCCTACTAACTGTGTTCTATTTCCTTCTGACCTTTTACTGACAAACCAAAAGGAAAGGCTAGCGTACTAGGTGGAACCACTAAGTGAGCTGCAGTCTGGATGTTGCTAACAAGTCAAGTGACCTTGGAGAATTTATTTTTAAACAATGGATCTATTTTCTGGTCAGTAAAATAAGATGTTGGCTAACAAGGTCTCAAAGAGACATTCAGTTATCTGACCAAAAAAGAAAGATGTGTATCTGTTGTAGGTACATTGCTGTGACAGAACTTAGACATAATGATGTCATGGCCACTTAAACTATAATGGTCTTTACTTAGCAGAAATAACTTCATTTAATAGACTATATTTTTAAAATACAATACCACTGTCCACAGGGAGGTAGCTTCTGTGAGAACACACATCCTAATGGAAATTTTTAAAATTAAAACTCCAAATCTCTCTACCACAGCTGTATTTTTATTTCAAAATATTTTTAGAACTTCTCTGTATTATTGCTATGAAAGTAAGGAATTTGTGGAGAGAAAACATACTTTCTTCCATTGGAAGAGATGAAAAAAAATATATGCCACTTTTTATTTCAATGCAATTTAAAACAAGTATGAATTGAAAGCAGTAATTCTTTTAGAAGGTACAATCTGCTTCACACTAAATTGGACCATATATGTCATCAAATGATGCTAACATTATAGTTATGGGAAAGTGCCTTAAAATTATACATCAAAGAAATACTTCTGTTAAAATCTCTTTTAATGGAAACTGCATTAGCCAGAGTTGCTGACAGAATAATAGCCTAGTAGAATTGCTCATTTTTACAGAGACTTACATATTTTCATAGATATATGTACACTAGAAGAGAACATAAAGCCATATAATTCTACAAACATTTTATTAGACTGAATGTGAGATGAAAGTGGAAGTACAACGCATGGAAATTTATCCTGTAATTGCCAATTGAGCAATCTTTCCATGAAGACATAAGGTAAAGTAGTTGTCAACTCTGGGCTAATCTGAAAGACAGCATACTATTAAACAAGAGCACAGGTATTGTACCTAATTGTCCACTTTGAACTGATTTCTCTTAAAAATACCCTGAGTTCCAAACCCAATGCCAAAGTTAAAATCAACAACCCAAAATGAATTCACTCTTGAGTAAAATAATAGAAGAGTCCAACTGACTTTAAAATAAAAATATTTAGGTTTCTCAAAAAGAAAAATAATATTAGCCCTGTGAGATACCTGTTCCAAAAAGATCTGCATGGTTAAATAAAGTTTCACATAATTTAAGTCGCTCTAAAAAATTAACTGCATTATAATATCAAAGATTAAGGAGTCTTTTAGCAAACACACCTAGCTTAACTTTGGCTCTGATTTCCCCAACTCTAAGCAGAGAGCCCTTTTCTTATTTAATAAACAACACTTGCAGACTATGCACTGTCAGGCACTACTAGTCTATGTGCTTATTTACTAAATTAATTTACTTAATCCTCACAACAACTATATGAGATAGGTACAATTATTATTCCCATGTTACAGATGAATACACTACAGCAGAAAATGGTTAAATACCTTCCCCAAGGTCATGAAGCTGGTAAGTGGCAGAGCTAGAGTTTGAACCAGGATGGGATGACTCCAACTCCTCTTCACCTTGAGGTACACTGCTTCTATGTAATACCTGTTAGAACCCAGGGAACTGATGCTGTGGAATTCTTGCTGGAAAATGCTGATATATAATAATTTAAATCTATACAAAAAGAGAGTGTGTGTGTGTGTGTGTGGGGGGGTGATTATATAGAAAAAAAAGTGTGAGGAAATAAAAAATCCTAACAGTTAACTCAGTTGTGTTTTTACTATAAGACTCCAGAAGATTTCTTATTCTTCCTTTAAAAAATTTTTATTGTCTAACCCTCCTTCAAAAAACTATTATCAGGGGGCCGGGGATGTGGCTCGAGCGGTAGTGCGCTCGCCTGGCACACGCGGGGCACTGGGTTCAATTCTCAGCACCACATAAAAATAAAATAAAGATGTTGTGTCCACTGAAAACTAAAAAGTAAATATTAAAAAAATTCTCTCTCTCTCTCTCTCTTAAAAAAAAACCCTACTATCAGTATTAACACTTACTACATGCTTCCTACAGCAATGTAGGAAGCAATGCTATGTGCTTCCCATTAAATCTTCATCCTTTTGAAATGAGTACTACTATCTCCATTTCACAGATGAAGAAATTGAGGCTTAGATGACAGTGGTTTACAAAGCATATACTATGAGGTCCAAACTATTTTCAGAATATGATTAAAACCAAACTTTCCATTTTCACTGTACTGACTTTTGCACTGAAGGCAGAAAAGCAAGGGAGAGAAAACCACCATACCTCAGCACAAATCAGGGCAGCAACAGTGCTGTGCTAGGAACTACTGTGTTCTTCTCTCAGTTAAAAAAAAAAAAAATCAGTTTCACTTAAAGATACCCTTGATGAAGTAGTAAAAATGTGACTGAATTTTGAATTCATGTCTTACTGACATGCCAAGTGACAAAGTGGGAAATGTATATGGCGTTTTTGCTGCATACATCGTTACCTAAGGAAAAAGCAGTTGTGAAACTGCTTATGTAACAATTTGAACCTACTTCTTTTTATCTTACAACACCATTATTACTTGAAAAAACAAGTGACTAACCATAACTATATGGTTGTTCAGATTTGATGTAGTATTTTGCAGACATTTTCTCAAAGTAAGTGAGACTGACACTTGAAGGAAATTAACTAACACTGTCTTGTTGTTTCACTGATCACATATGACCTTTCAAGTAAAAATTAGAACTCTGAAAAACTTCTACCATCAAGAACTTGGCACCTTCCCACTATTTAAAGACTCTTCCGACAAGACTGGTAGTGATATTAAAAGATGTGTGTGTGTGTGTGTGTGTGTGTGTGTGTGTGTTTCTTTAATTGGTTTAAAATTTGGCACAAATTCAATGCAGAGCAAAAAGATTTAAGGGGAGGTTTGCTAGAAGCTTTTGGAAGAGGAGACTGCTGCTGCATCAAAGAAAATATTCTGAGGTTAGCCCTGAGCAGTGTGACATGGGGATATGAAGCAACTGCTGCTGTGATTCTGACCTCAAAGGGAAGCCAACCTCAAGAGGAAGCAGACACTGCAGAAGGCAGAGAGGAGATGGAAGAAGCCAAGTCATTGGAACCATAATTGAGCAACTGAAATCACTCCTAAAACCCACCCAACACAGCCTCTTAACTGGTGAAACCAATCTTGAGTTGGGTATTGTGTTACTTACAACAAAGAGACTGCTAAGATAAGGCATTCTATCAAATTAAATGAAATTTTCAAAAATGAATATGAATATAACACTTAAAATTGAAGAAAAGTTCTTATTGTGAAATCTACATTGAATACATACAGTTTCACATGGAAATAACATTATTTAAAATTACCTTTTCAGTGTTCTTGTATTTTTCCCATCCTTTTAGCATTTTCAGCCATTTGGTAGTTCTTTCAATTTCCAGGTTCTTTTGCTAAAATAAAGTTGAAATTCATTGTAAATTCATTGTTACTCTTTGTTGGAGTTTTTTTGTTTTGTTTCTGCTTACAAATTACAAAAAGAAAATGCTACAAAAAAAAGTATTGCTAAAAAATGTTGTACTCTATTAGATAGCAAATATCCTATCTTAATTTGGCCTAAGTTATAAGTTGGATAATATCCAAGTTGTATCAGTAGTATTCTGTGGCTAAAGAGTAAAAAGGAATGCTCCAAGACAAGGAATGAAACTGCTTATATTTTCCAACACTTTAAGGCTAATCACATAAGGCTAGTTTTTTTTTTTTTTTAAAGAAAATTTTAAAATATCTTTCCTGAGGTCATGAAATCACAGCTTCCATATCTAATTCCCTTATTTCTCATTCTACCATATTCTAGCATATTAATGTTTTCAATTGATTTTTTAAGGAACTGGCTATTTATTCATTTACTTACTTTTAGTGTGATTAATTTATAAATAGCACTAGGCTAGAGAAAAATTATACAAATCAGTCACAGTTGCTGCCCTATGGGGGATTCACCTCACACTAGAGGGAACGGACAAGGAAAGACACAGTGCTCTGACAGGTGCTCTGATATAGAGGCAGGGAGGGTAACAGCAAGGTCACACAGAAGGAGCACTCAAATTCATCCAGAGGGTGTCAGAGAAAATGAGCCATACATGAATAACTGAATGACTGGGATTTTTAGGAAGTGCAATACAGGAAAAGAATATTCTAGGCAGATGGGGAAATGTGTATTCCCAAGCTGATTCAGCACCCTAGGGATTAGTCCCAAAAGGCTTAAAGAAAGGAAATATCAGGAGATAAGGCTTCCAAAGTAGGTAAGGGTCTTGTGTATGTCACATGAAATTGAAATCAGAGATGAAGTGGGGAATGGACAGGTGAGACAGAAAATGCTTGCTCCTCACTTCTTTGGTTTCCAGAAGAAAGATTTTTTTCCCCCTAAAAACTCAGGCCTGAGAGAGTATTAAGTTGTACGAATAAAAAGCAATGGAAAGAGAAGAGTACACAGGAAAGGGAATAGTTGTGAGGATGCATCTTATGTTCAAGGTGGATGCTCTTTACAATCCACTAAAGTGGGTGTGGTCATCTCCATTTCATGATAAAGAAACTGAGGCACAAAGGGATTAAGGAACAGGCCTCATTAAGGATAGAAGAGGAGTTCAGAGCCAGGCATCTTGGCTTGAGGACCTGCACTCTTAGGGGCCACATCTCCTACCTCTGGTTTCTATTCTTCTCTGGTGTACCGAGGCAATTGCAGCTCCTGGAAAAAGATAACGACTCCTTTCTGACTAGCTTCAATCCAGCCTCAAACAAGGAGGCACTATATGTTGGCAGATGGCATAAACCCACTGCCAATATTTTTAGATCTAAAAGAGCCCCAGAGAAAATTCTGAATTTAGGAAGTTCTCACCAATGAGAATATTTACATTATTTTTAGCTTTATTCTTAAAACTCAATTACTTTTTTTTAACCCCCTGGTGGCGCTGGGGATCGAACTGAGGGCCTTGCACATGCTAGGCAAGCATTCTACCACCAAATTACACTCCCAGTTCCACTTTTTAACTCTTTTACATTCACTTATGAATTTTTTCATAATAAAATAGAGCTTGTGAGCAAAAGATAGTCTGTTAGAATTTTCATTTTTCAAAAGGTTAAGCATAGTCTTTATTATATTATTAGTGATAAAATGTTACAGATGGTTCCAAAAATATGTTTAATTTTAAAACTCAGTGGGGCACTGAAATCTAATTAATGTTTCTGCTAAATGTGACTTCAGAGATGGCCAAGCTGTGAAAAACTGAGATTGGTCTAAGTTGCCATTTGGTATTTTTTTGTTCTTCTACACTTCCTCTCCTGACGTCTTCAAAGCATAATCCCTTTTCCCACCAACTGAAAAACACCAAGTAATTTAAGCCAACCCAAGAGTATAATAACATATACTTTGCCAGGAACAACCCTGCTGAGTTCTAGCAGATCTCTTACTATCTTTCATTTTTATTACTATGAATTATCAACAAATCATTTTAGGATGTAGTCATTCTTTTTTTAAAGACACACTTTTGTATTCTAATGTTTATCATATATATATAGATATATAGATAGATAGATTATTTTAAATGTTATACAAGGACAAAATAGACACTTTAATTTTTAAGAATCATTAAATATGCTTTTCTTTCCTGACATCAGGAAAGGGAGGGAGGGAGGGAGGGAGGGAGGGAAGGAAGGAAGGAAGGAAGGAAGGAAGGAAGGAAGGAAGGAAGGAAGGAAGGGAGAAAGTAAGTTAGTTAGTTATACCTTGGAGAAGCTCCCAGGTTGTAGAATTTTAAAATTATGTATCAGTAGATCAATCAAGTTTAAATGTTAAACTCCATAATTCTGTCAGTTCAGTTATACCAGACTTAAATGCACACACAAGTCTTTCCCCTCCTACTCATGAATCTGTAATTTATGGATAAAATATACTTTTTCACCAATACATGCTAAAGCTAATTATTCTAAATAATTATTTTGAAGTGTGAAATAATTGAAAATGTATGTGACAAATGTGAACTTACATGCTCTAGAAAAACAGGCTAAGAAACATCAACTTGCCATAGACTCATCAACAACACAGAGATGAAACTAGAATATGACAGCATATCAGAACTTTCACCCAGAAGTTCAACAGATATTTTTTTTTTTTTAAAGAGAGTGTGTGAGAGAGAGAGAGAAAGAATTTTTTTTAGTATTTATTTTTTAGTTTTCGGTGGACACAACATCTTTGTTTGTATGTGGTGCTGAGGACCGAACCTGAGCCACACGCATGCCAGGCGAGCACACTACCGCTTGAGCCACATCCCCAGCCCATCAACAGATATTTTAAACTCAACATATCCAAAAAGATTTCCCCAGACATTTTGCCATTACCCTCTGTTTCCTGACATGAATTAATAATATCTCTAAGTACCATGTCAATCAAATTGGAATCTCAAAGTTGTTTTGAGTTTCCCATACCCAAATGATACTTTGCTGGTCCCACCTGTCTCCTTTCCATCCTGTCCTATGCCCTCATACAAGTAATCATAGCTCTGGGAAGAATACAATAGCTCCTTACTGACATTCCTGTCTTCAGTTCAGCCTCCACACTGCTACCACAACTTTTAAACGTGTCTACTTTAAAATCTTTCAAACGCAACTCATAAACCACAAATAAAGTTCAAAATCAACACAGCATACCCGATGGCCCTTAACAATAAGGCCTGACTGACCTTCCAGATTCACTTGGCAGCTACTGTTATGATCTGGCTATTCTGAATTACTTGTCATTCCCAAAACATGCTGCATTTTCATGTCTCTTAGACCATTTGGTATACTTCTGACTATGATGCTCTTTCTTTCCTTGTCTGGCAAAATCCTGTATATTCTCTCCAGATGCAGATCAAATGCCCAAGGTCTGGAATTTCTTCAAATATACCCATGTCTCAAGCAAAATTAACTGTTCCCTCAGCATCCATACCATGGATTAAGGACCAAGCTGGCCTAGATTCAAATCTGAGCTATACCTATTATTTTCGCTTAGGGCAAATTATTTAATTCTTCTGTACCTTAGTTGTCTCATCCACAAAATGAGAATTATTATTATTGTTGTAACAGCAATCAATACTTCATGTTCTAGCTTTCCAAAGATCCAAATCACATTATTAATATTAAAGTATGAACTCCTTGATCACAGGAACTAAATCATATGTTCATCTTTTAATTTCATCACCTAAAGCAATGACTGTTAGAAAAGAAAACTTATATAGACATTTTTAAAGAAAATAAAAGTTACATAAGAAAAGACACCTGAATAGCACTATGGAGTAACTGTTAGCATTCGGTAGTCCTAAGGTGGAAGGGTGGGAAGGAGAATGAATCTAAATAGATCAAAAATCAGAATGTTACTTCTGATTGTTTGATCATTTAATATAGTCTGATCGTTATAATATAAGAATAACCAGGGTAAATTGTAAATCTCTCTAGAGCATGATAGTGGAGATGGTATCCTTCCATTACTTTAGCAACACTTTTCAAAATTCTGCCCAAAGGCAGCAAAATACAAAATTGATTCTGTTGCTTTCATGTATAAACATCTTACTTTTCTCAATTTTCCTTGTGAAATATTCAAACCCGCAAAAAAACTGGAAAAACAGCACATCGTATACTTGTATGTCCCTTACCCTAGATCCACCAATTATTAATCTTTTGCCAGATTTTATTTATTTCCATAGTTTGGGTGTTTTTGATTTGTTTTTTTGGTAGCTGATCCATTAAAAAAATCTCTAAATATTTCCAAGTATATATCACCTAAGAACAAAATCACATTATATTAATCACATTACCATTATTATACCCAAGAAAATTTAAAATTGATTCATCATTACTTCATAAAGAATCATACCAAATACCCTACATGTGTCCCCCAATTTTGTAGGGTTGGGGGGGAGAACCAGGAATTGAACTCAGGGGCACCCAACCACTGAGCCACATCCCCAGTCCTATTTTGAATACTATTTAGAGACAGAGTCTCACTGAGTTGCTTAGCGCCTCGAGTTTGCTGAGGCTGGCTTTGAACTCACAATCCTCCTGCCTCAGCTTCCCAAGCCACTGGGATTACAGGTATGTGCAACGGTATCCAGTCTTATTCAATGTTTTATAATTCATTATCATATGTTTTAAGCTTTAATTGTCTCATATTTGGCAGACTGCCTCCTATATGATCAGAAATCTCTCCCCTTCAAAGACCTATATTACAAATTAAGACCTATATGCCAAATGTGCTCATTACTGCAATTTTTAAAACTGTATAGGAGATCATAGCATGAGAAAATTCCACTTCCCTTCAAAATGTCAGAAAACAAATAGCCAAGGAAAAATAATGCACAGGGCTTAATGTTGGTCGATTTTCGCCCTTTGTTAGCTCTCCACTACCCCTACTGGCTAAGAAAAC